AGTTGCGCACAGCAGCATCCCAGCTAGACTGGCTCTGTGCGCAGTGCCTAGGAGTTCAGTTAATGGCACTGAAGGAGAACATAAGAGTCCCGAGCAGTCATTGTGTCCTTTACCTGCATTACTTTCTTAATCTTCTAGTCACTTATGTAACACAGCTATTGTCATAGCTGTATCACCAAACACCAAGAACCACATCTAGCACAGAGAAAGCAGGTTCCTTGCCTGTGATCATGGTGCTAGTGACTTGTGAAGCCAGGGCTTGGGCTCAGGCAGCCGGCCACGGGAGCCCGGTCTTCCCACCAGCCTGGCAGTGTTGGGGCCCTTGGGAAGTATGCCCTGCCCCTCCTGCAGGCTCGGTCACACCGAACAAAGGGCTCTATATCCACAACCAGGGCAACAACAGAAAGAGGCCAGTAACCACAGGTTCTACCCATTTAGTAAATCTTCTTTCCTTCTTAAAAGAAGTTGATATTTAAGTCTTCTGACATTTAAAAAAAAAATCCTGTCCCCAGAATAAATAAAGCAGAATAGATATTTTCAGTGAGAGGGAGAATGTGCCAGAAAGCACAAAGAATCTTTACAAAGTCCAAGATGTTGAAAATAGGCAAATGCCAGTGATTTCACACATGACAGAGTGTTTTGAGCATTTGTTGGGTGGAGAGCATTGGGAATAGGAGGATGAGTAAGATACAGTCAAGTTGTGGGTGGTCTAAGGGGGGATATTACACCAGTGAGTGCAGCAGGATGTGTGGACACGCCACGGGGAAGCCGAGCTGTGGAGGACAGGGCACTCGGAGAGGGCGGGCAGCAGAGGGCCCAGCTGAGGCTTTCACGACATACTGTGTGTAGCAGTGGAATCTGCACCAAAAATGCACTTTCAGGTTGTGATAGTTTATTATAAGTAATGTGAGCATATTTCGAACAAGGCCTGCCCTGGCATTAGACCTCACTAACCTCTCAAACTTCACTTATCATGCTGGAGAAGGTGAGATCTTTGTGGGGTGGGGGCTTTAATATTCCAGAAGCCATAAGATTAAATTCCTCTTTGATTTTATTCACTGTTGTACCGAGGACCTAATCTAGTAGGAAAGGCTCTAGAAATACGGGTTGAGCCACCCATCTGGATCCGGTTCCTGAGGCGTGGAGGTAGCAGCCAGGAGCCTGAAGAGGCAGGCGGAATCCAGCTAAATGGTCACCTGTCGACAAGCTGCCTTCCCATTCCTCCCCTCAGTCATACCTCACCCCACTTTTCATGCCTGAAGAACCAGAAAAGAGTCCAGAAATCCTTACTTCAGTGATTTACTAGTCATTCCTGAATGTTTGCTTCTTAAAAATACGGTTATCAAGCAAGGGCTTTAAGACCAGGGAAGCCTCCAGGGTTCCTAGCACATCTGCAAGGAGCTTTCCACCTCACAGGACAGCCAGGCCCAGCCACACGGGGGGCATCTCTGTCCTGTCCTGCAGGGACTTTGCTTCTGGAGGGCTCTGGGTAGTCCAGCTCCTTAGTTGTCTGTGGCTGCCCAGTGTGGTGCTGTGTGTTAAAAGGGTCCTGTCACTTCAGTACTTTACACATACTCTCAAGTTCTGAAGGGTGTCTTGTCTGGAAAACCTCTTGGTTTCTCCAAAGAGAGTATAGGCCTAGGGGAGGAACAAGATCATGACAGGCCACCCTTGCACACTCATCTGGGGGTCACAGGGTCTTAAGCCAGGGGCTTGCTTGTGTGTGTGCACACGCCTACCTCTCTGCTTTCCCAGCAGAGAGACCAGGTTAGAAACCCTGGTTATGATCCTTAATGGGCTGTAAATTTTTATTCACTTTGGGCCATTATAATTTCTGGTCCTTACACAGTCCTGTTTATTTGGTAAGATAATTGTAGGGCTTGCAATTCTGTAAGAATCAAAATAAGAAAGGCTGATTGTTTGGTTGATTGGCACAGTTGAGTAAGGAAAAGGTAAAAGACCCATAATCTGAGTGTCTTGCTACCACTAGAACCCCATGAGGACAGAAGTCTGCAGAGTCTCATTTCCCACCGCAGGTCTGCAAACCAGAATGGGCATTTAGCAAGGCTCGCAGAGGTTCTGATGCATATTAAAATTTGAGACTTGTTGGATCAGAAAACATGGGTTAGACCATCATTTGAGTCTTCTCTTTCTGACGCAGTGAGCAAGCTCCCGGGGGCTGTACCATTTATTCTGCATTAGAATAGACTCCTGCTGTGTAGTGTTTCCTGGGGAAGGGTGGGATGAAAGAATGATTCTATTTTTAACTGTAGCATGTTCTACTTAGGATCTTTCATGACCTTCACTTTCCCAGAGTGATTTGAGTTGGTCTCCAAAACGCTTCCAAGAGGATGGAATAAATGAGGAAATGTAGATTTTTAAAAACCGTTATGTCTGGAAAGTTATATCAGATATGGTTATAATAACTCATAAATAATTTCCACCAAGTCCTGTGCAGTTGCATGTTTTACATAAGGCACCATTTACCTCTGAGTTCTCTAGTGATACAATGTGAAACAGAAAACATAGTAATAAGTCTCCAGTGCCCAACACAGCTTTTCTCAGCACAGCCTCGTAAGTGGCCTCTGCCGTTTGCATTTTATAGCAAGTACTACAGTATATTGCATGAGAATTTTTCTGTCTTCAAGACAGAGGTTTTATAAAAGTACCTCTGTGAGGTGAAATCTTTTCTTGCTGCTGCAGCCTTTACACTTTGTCTTTAATTAACCTGACTTACACCCCCGACGCCCAGGGCACTGTACCTGGTGGGTCCCTGACTGGTTTCTGTTTGGGCCCTCAGTACTCGACCCATCACAGAAATACCAGACTGTGAGCAAAGGTGAGATTGGGAGGCTGCTTCCTCCATATGGACTGTGGAGGTGACGGGCCCCAAAGCTAGGGTTTGAATCCCAGTAAACGGCATGTACCACCCATGCCCGTAACCCCTGCTTCCCAGTTCATGCCAGTAGAAGGAGAAGCATCAGGAACACCAGGTGGTGTAACCACATCTCCCTTGTTAGGTCTCTTTTGTCTGCTTTTTGCTCGATTTGAGCTGGATTTATAGTATTTCTCAGACCTGCAGATCATGTTCGGCTTGGAACTCGTCTGCTTAACTATCCATCAGAAAGCACGACACTCCACACACTTTCTTGTCAAGGATGTGATCATTTTCCCTGCCAAATTAAGGAAAAAAGACTTTAAGCGTCAAGACAAATTTACAGTATCACAGGGGAAAAGGAGGCCCCCTGTTCCTGACAGACCGGAGTCTGTGAGAGTGGCAGTGGCACCACGGGGGCATCCTCCTCTCTTGCTGGCTTCTGTTTGGCTCACACTGCCCTGCTCGGGATTCCCAACCATCTGTCCTCATCCTCAGCCACCCACGTCACCGAGAGAGGCAGGAAGGATAAAGCAACGGGGCCCTGGGCTGGTCTCTGATGCCCAGACAGTATTTGGGGCACCACCACGGGGTGCCAGAGCCTGTGAGAGGTGAGCCCCCCTCTCCCTGCTGCCACCGTCTGGGGCTTAAAGCAGATCCTTCCCACCGACAGTAGATGACGCTTTGAATTAACTTCACCCTAAGGTAACGTGATTTATTTCAAGTGCAGTGGTCATTTCCATTTCTAGGTTCTTAGTTGGGTCTTTCCCCCTGAGGGTAGTAAAATTTTTTGAGAAAAATCAGCAGTCTTCCCTGGAAGAAATTAAATTTACACAACCAGATTTTAGTGTATAATTTATAAGATTTCAATATAATTTATACAGTACTTTATAAATTATAGTTCAGATCCTTCCTTGGGAAAGAACTTGGACATGACAGTACTTTTCTCATAGAGCAGTTTTGAGGCTTTGAGATCATCGTGGAAAGTACTAACACAGACTATTTAGCTCCATGTGCACTAGCTAGTCTTAGTGGTATTATTTGCTCCAGACTCCCCTGCTCCTGCACTGTTGCTGTCAGCTCCAGCTTTCCAGACACGTTTGGTTTTATCACTATTTGATGGCTGTTGCTGAAAAGACTTAACTTGTAACAGAACTTGCCTTCAGACCACTCTGTAGCTCCCTTCAATCCCACAACCCCCGCTCAGCCCACAGAAAAATCAGCACCATCCCCTCGTCCTTCAAACCCTCCTCAGACGTATTGGTTTGTCTCTAATGATCCTTTCATTTATACCAAGAGGATTCATAATAGAAACAGAACAAAGATAGAATTTTACTGGTATTATATATAAACATGGAAGCATTATAGTAATCAAAGCCAGCAAGTGGAAGACACTTTGAATGCAAGTCTCATATAATGTAAGATTTAGTAAACTCCCTAGCAAAGCATCTTCCTCTCACAGATGAGTCATCTGGGGCTCGGGAAATAACTTGCTTAAGGTCACATAGAAGGTTCTGGTCAGAACCAGTATCTGTCACCTCTGAACCCAACAAAGCCTAAGGGTTTGTCTAAGGCTGCCTCCCCCGGCTCTCTCCCCTAGGGTCTTCTTTCTTCTCTCTGGGTTCTAACTGAATCAGCTGCACTGAGATAGCCTCAGTATTGGCAAACACCACCATAGGATTAGACTGAGACTGAGCAAAGCGGGCTGTTCTAGAAGTGAGATTTCACTTGCTCCAAAAAGCAATAGACCAACCTGCCATTCATGGTGGCCACTGGCTGTCTGAGTTGGGGAAGTGACATGACTTTTCACCAGTAATGCACACCCCGACACACACTCACAAGGAGGGGGTGTCTGTGGAATGCACGACTGGGTGTGGCTTGGTTGCTCTACATGTCAGGATCTCAAAGAGGGAGACCAAAGGTCCTCCACAGAGGTCACCTGGGACTGGCACCAGGGGACTTTAGAAACAAGCCGTTTCTAGTAATGTCCAGTAAGATGTCTCACTGGTTGCTGGTAGCAAGGTTTTTCTTCAGAGGAATGAAGGCAGCACCGTGTCCTGTTTCACTGTTGGCCGAGTTCAGAGGCTGCTATGGCTGTTAGTAACCTCAGTTTTTCATTTCTCAGGCAACCTCAGAACCCGTCCTGGATCCACAGCAAATTCAAGCGTTTGATCAGCTTTGCCGTCTCTACCGAGGAAGTTCCAGGGTAATGTTTGCTTAGTTGTTTAAGTTTGTATTTTCCCCATTTATTGTATTGTTATGGAAACACAGTGTCCTCAGAGCCTCTCTCCAGCCCCCTCTCCGCCAGGAAAGCCTCGGTGTCTCTGTGATGACCACGTGGAACTTTGCCCCAGGGGCTACTCAGAATTGTGTAAAATGTGCAGAGGAAGGGGAAGACATCTGTCCCTACCTTCCAGAGGCTGTGAGGACAAGGGTTGTCTGTGTGCTGCCTCCAGAGGAAGCAAGCATATACCTAATCCCTCATCCAGAGACCTTTGTTTTATTGATGACTGACAAATGCCCTAAGTCCTAGACCCTGAGCCACAGCTCCATTGGTTGGTTGTTTTTTGTTTTTGTTGTTGTTGTTGTTGTTGTTGTTTGTTTTCCATTCATTTTGACCATGAAAGATGCCAAAATATATTATTGCCTTTACCAATACCACATGTGAATACAGGTGGTCCAGGGCCCCTTCCATGAGCCTGTGTCCAGGTTTATGTTATGGCTCTGCCATCCTTCATAAGTGGATTATACTCACATGGTTCAACATGGTTGCCCCCACGCCAGCCATCACATCTACATTCTGGCTAGCAAGATGTAGGGGAAAGTTCCTAGAAGTTTTATATATTCCTCTTATCTCCATTGCCCTGGCTTAGATTCATGACCACGCCGACATAGGTAAGTGGTTTTAGGCCAAGAAGCCATGGACTGAAACTAGAACTGTAGAAAAGGGGAAGGCGACCAGAAGTCACGCCACAGCAGCAGGCTGGGTGCCCCGGTCACTGCAAAGTGGGCTTCTCCTCTTCGGCCTCACCTAGTGCCAGGTGAGGCACCTTGCCGATACATCACCCAGAGCAGACCCCTAGCTGAGCCACCTCGCCCACTCTCTAGGGAGCTCAGCAGCCCCTCCAGAGCTCCTCCCCTCCCCTCCAGACTGTCAGGCGTGCACTGCAGTTGTGTCCCTTCCCCACGCTGCTGCCTGAAGGTTCTTTCCAAACCCAAGTGTCAGATCCCTTTGCTTAAACATTTTCCTGGGTTTCCATCACTGAAGGCGCAGCCCCAAGTCTGCCCCACGTCACTCTAAATTTCAGCCAGCCCAGACATGTTCCCTGGGCTTATCTCAAGCTTGCACAGCTTGCTCCTGTGCTCAGCTTGTGGGCCGGCTCCCTTCTGCCAGTTCCCATTCTTAGGCACACACTTGCTAGGTTGCTTGGCAGCCCAGAGGGAAAATGCCCTTCCCTGTTTGCTGTCTTCCCAGTCCCAGCCAAGCCCCGCCCAGAAGCTGGGTTTCTAGGCCTTCTTCTAGGGAAGTTCTGCTGCTTAACACTCTTGAGCTGGTGTTCAGAGCTCATTGATTTCCAGATCACTCGTTACAGAAGTAGAACACAAAAAGATCTCTTTTTCTGGGAAATAGCAAGTCTTCTCCGTGGCTAGTCATTCTGCCTCACAGTATCTGAATATGAAAGAACTCTGAGTTTCCGTAGCCCCTGTTGCCTATGGCCTGTGATAGCCTCACTGAAAGCTGCACAAGCTGAAGGGCTGCTGAGGGGGTGGCAAAAGACAGGCGGTGCGCAGGGAGGCTGTAGCAGACCAGGGTGTAAGCTGCTTAACGCAAGGGCTCAGGGCCGGCCCAGGCCAGCTGCCTGCTGCATGGCCTCGGGCAGCCATTGGCCGTGGAGCCCCCAGCGCGCTGGGCATCGTGAGCTGGAAACAGTCACATCTGCACCTGCCCTGTGAGGTTATTCTAGATTAACTGCCACTTTGAAGTTAAGGGCCTTCAGGTGTCTCCCCATTCATTACAGCCACTGGCAGTGAGTTTTCAAATGGACATGCTGAGTTTATGCCATGACGCCTGGGTGAGGAGAGAACCTTCGGCCAGAGAAAAACTATTGGCTTGTCTGAAAAGTCATGATGCATTTTTGCATAGAGAAAATATGTCATGAATTTTCCAGCAACGCAGTAGAAGGCTGAATGCCTGTGAGGCTGGGTGGGAGAACAGGTGACAGCAGGAAGCCTCGGGAAGGCAGGGCTGTAGGGCCACCTGGACTGAGTGTGAACCCCGGCTACCACTCAGCACCCGGTGACCCTGGGCAAGGAACGGAACTTCTCAGGGCTCTGACTGCTTATGCAGAGGGTGGCTGTGGAGGGTTAGAAGTAACACACGTACAGGGCCTACCATTGTGCCTGCTACCCAGAGGGACTCGCTAGTTACTGAGGCTGTTGGGGGTGCCCCAGGGTTATGGCCTAGAGCCAAGCAGCCTGCTTATTACCCTGTGACATTGAGATCTAGTTCCTGATAGCATCCTTCACCCCAGGAGAAGGACCTTGGAAGGAAGCCATCTCCTCTGTGGCCATCAAGAGCATTTTGAGGGCCAGGCTGTTGCAGGACACCTCTTTGAAGTCAGAGGCTGGCCCCTCTGGTCTCCCAAGGGGCGGGCATTGGCTTTTCCTCCTGCCTCCCCCTTGGCAGACCTTCCAGAACTAAGCAGAAGGAAGGTGTCACTCTAAGGAAACCGAGAGCAGGGAGGACTTGTTTAGAGGAGAAGGTGGAGTTCACATTGGCAGCTGAGCATCCATTTCTCACTCTTCAGGTATAAAGGAGAGGGGGAGGGCCATTTGCCCGGAGAAGGAGCAGAGAGAAGGGGGGAGAAAGGTGCAGCAGGGTGGTGCCCTCCAGCTGGAGAAGGCACGGGCAGGCCAGTGCCGGGCCGGGCAGCTTTCCGTGGCCAGAGCAGCACAGTGTGCTCGATGCTCGGAGCACACGCCCACCTGGTTACTGCAGGAGGAAATCCAGGCCCTGGAAGGTAAAGTGGGCTCGCCCAAAGCCACGTGGCTCATTCTTGAGATATGGGCCCTGGCTCCAGACCCAGTTCTCATGCTCCTCCTTGGAGTGCTGTGCTGGTTCTATATTCCAGGAGGGGAACTCGGGATTCTCCATGTCAGGTTCATGCCCTTCCCGAACCGCCCCCACTTTCTCTCCCACTTACAGTCTGCTTGATTGTGTCCCCTCTTTTGCAGCTGGCTCTCCTTACAGAACTGTCCCAGAATCGCAGCAGCGACAGCTACAGGCCGTTCAGTGGCTCCCAGAGTGGCCCTGCTTTCAACAGCATCTTCCAGAATGAGAACTTCCAGCTGCAGCTCATACCCCCACCTGTGACTGAGGACTGACGCCCCTGGAGCCTGGTCCTGTGTACCAGAGTCTATCCCACCGCAACATGGGGTACCCTCCCAGCTGGCATGTCCCTGCTGTCCCCCACTGAGCAGAGGTTCCAAGGCCTTCCGTGCTCACGGCTGTCTCCAACCACCATCCCCCTGTCTCCTCCATGATGTAACCTGTCACTAGACTGCTTGGTTTGGTTTTGCTTATTAAGCAAAGGAATATCATGCACCTCGTCCAGCTTTTTAAAAAAATACATTTTGCCTATTGGGACTTTTTCCCAAAGCCTGGAGAACAAGTGGAGGTCACACAGAGGCGCTGCGGCCCTGTCCTGCTCTGCCCCTCCGGCTGGGGGAGGGAGCGACTCCCCTTCCGCGGAGCAGTGGACCAGGCCGCAGTGCACAGAAATGGCCTTGGGGGTGAAAGACCTGTGGGGTGGCTGCTCCCTTTTGCTGTTGTGTCCCCTTTCTCACAATAAATACCCCCTTACGCTCTGCAGACCTGATGGCCGGCTCCTAGTCCACCATGTCATCACACCGTCCACACATTTCGAGGCCTAGCGGCAGCGGCTCACTTTCACTAGCTCAGAGAAGGGTGCTGAGCGTGGCCACCGCCTTTCCTCAGCTGCGCAGTGCCCAGGTGTCTGTGACAGGGGCTGGGTGCCAGAGCGGGAGGTTCACGGGGTGGCCTTTGGCTTTGAACTCTGAGCCGGCAAGCCCAAGGGGTCCCCACACCAGGGCCCCTCACGTGCTGAGCCGTTTCATCAGTCATGCAGGAGCCTTCAGGCCCCAGGCCTTATGCTCAGGAACAGCTGCACCCGCTAAAAGCATCTATGTTAACTTCTAGTAGGAAATAGACCCGGTTCCTGCAGCTGACGAGCTGTGATCCTGAGCAAGATGCTTCTCTTATCTCAAGGCTTCACTTTCTTTATAAAGCCACGTGAGAACCTTCGACATCTGGCAGGTGCGCAGCCAACACCCCATAAATGTAGGCTCCTGTCTACACAAGCTGCTCCGGCTGATGGAGGTGGGAGGGCCTCAGTGAGGGAAGTGGTTACCTGTGAAGTGTGATCCCCAGCTGGGTGCTGTGGGGTGAGTGAGTTGGTCAGGCTTTCTGCAGCCTTGATGGCGCTGATGCAGCAGGCCTTTGGGGCGGGGCACACGTGCCTCACTGTGAACACCTGAGGATGGGGTGCACGCATGCCTACATGTGCACACCTGAGCCTAGGGGCAGGGCCATTCTGGGGCGTCACTTGGAGACGGATGACTATGAGAGGACAAGTTGACTGCAGAGAAGGTGAGACCATGAGAGAGAACACCAGACAGCCTAGAGAAAGTCAAGATTCGTGGGGGGCTGGGGGCTCTGTTGCCTGCCTGCCTCCCAGCCCCTCCCCAGCCCTCACCCCCAACCCCCACCTGCCCTGTTACCTAAGCCTTGCCTGTGGCCTATCTGGTGTGCCCGTGTGCCTGGTTCTCAGAGAGCAGTAAAGCCTGAAATTTCCACCCAGGGTGCTTGGACTCCTTTATCTGTCTGCTGGAACTGACAGTGGACCTACCCTTTGCCTGCTGGCACTAGAGATGCCACTGCAGTGTGGGAAGCCAAGGCAGTTGTCATAAATTAACAAGGTGGGCGGGCCCTCCCAGGTGGTGCAACGGGTTATGGTGCAGCACTATGAGGCTACCGCAGTCACTCACAAGTTCCATCCCTGCCCAGGGAGCTGACCTACGTGGTGCAGCAGACCTCCCCTGACCCCCGCTGCTCCCCTCAGCAATGTATTTCAGTAGATCTATCTGTTCTGCTCCCCAATCTCTCTGTGAATCCTCTCACCTCCTCCCCCCAAACTCTGGCCTGTACCCCAGTTTTGTGTGAAAAAAATTAACAAGGTCACTCAAAAATTGGCAGAGTAGGGACTTGAACTTATAACAGGTGGTCCCTGTAGAAAAGGGTCAGAAACAGCCAGACATGTGGGAGGAAAGAGCAAAATCAACATTAATGCGACCATTGGTAACCTCCCCACGGGTCTCTCACCTACATCTGTTCACCCAGACCAGGGCCAAGAAGCCAGTGCAGCTTCTTCATGTGTCTCTGCCCCGTGGGCCTCCTTCAGGTCCCCTCGCGGGTCTCCATCCTGCTTCCTGCCTCTTCAGTCTCCTCTCCGGCCTCTCCTCCTCCCCACTCAGCTCCACCCTTCCTTGGGTGGGCCAGGGAACCTAGCACCTCCCCTTTTCCTGGGGTCCACCCTGTTAAAAATCTAAACTAGTTCCAGAGCAGTGATGCTACCTCGCCAGATTACCAAATTTCTTGATGTGCCTAAAATGCCAAACGAGTTTGATATTTAGTCCCCAGCATATCTTTACTCTCTCATATCCTCTCTCCCTGTTGCTCTGGCCTCTCCCCTCCTCGAGCACCCCCATAGCATAGTCTCTAGGCACAGGTGTGCACCCTTGCACATGCGCACACACCCATGCTCAGGTGTCCACAATCAAGCACGCTCACCCCGCACTCACGCTCCCAAACACCTGCGTTAGCAAGGTCAAGGCCGCAGGTGACAGGCACAGAGGCTAGTGGCATAAAAAGCCTGATAATTCACTTACCCTGTTACAGGGAAGCCCAGAGTGGACTGGGCCGCCTATCTGTGGGCCTCACCTGTGCGCTCACAATTGTTATACTGCAGGTACACACAAAAGGGCCAATAACAGGTTTATTTACAAAAGGGGAAAGGAATAGGAAACAACCCAGGGAAAGAGCGGGGTACAAAGTCACTGAAATACCTACGGCTAGGCTGACTGAACACACCCAGTCACGCGGTCTGGAGAGCTGTTTCCCCAGCGAGAAAGCCAGAGATGCAATCGCGCCCTATTTATCCCCCAAATGTCCCAGAATTCCTGCTAGCTCCGCCCTGGGGTCCTCGCAGTTCTCTCCCTGGTACTGCTGGGAGTTGTAGTTTCCAATCACTGGAGTAGGGGGTAGGGTCCAGAAAGCTGGGGTAAGGGATGGAGTTCATAAGACTCTGCAGAGTTCCTTTAGGACACCCTTCCCCTTAACAATCCTACAACATTCTCAAAACAAAACTGGGGGCACACCCTTTACCCTGTAATCCAAGGAGCCAAGGCTGTACTGGAGTATCAGACCTCTGTTGAAAAACAGTCAGTAAACAACAGCTCTCTGGCCTCTTCCCTAGCTTCCCTGTCCCTAGAGTTGTCTTTGAGACTCCACAACACAGAATAAATTACAGCAGCTTTGTATTCAGGTCATGCCTTCCTGAATTGGACTGAAGAGCCTCTTCTCATCTAAAGGTAGATGACGACCCAGTGGCATCTTGGGCAGCGCCAAGCACTGGGGATGTGTCGGGGCTGAGCTGGGTCCCCATGCCTGCCATCTGGAAGCCATTGTCCCCACCCCCTGTGACACTTAGCACATGTTCTACTCTGCAGTGATGTCGAGTTCCACTTCAAAGCAGTTCCTTAGGGGCAGAGGCTCATGGAAATATTCCTCAACTCGCTCAACAGCAGCGTTCTGCTGACATGGCCACAGGAGCTCATGAGGGAATTGGGGGAATCAAGGAACTAAGAGCAAGTAGCTCCGAGCACCCTGTTGCAACCCGTGCTGAGCTCCAGCTGTTTTCCTAGGCCTCTGGCTGTGACAGGTGGTGGAGGAGGAATCTGGAAGAGGACCCTTCAGCTCCTTGGGGGAGGGGGGGTACCTGCTGGAACGCTGCCTGCTTGTGCTATCCCCTGGGAAGGGAGAAAAGGCTGCTCTGAGAGGAAACCGGGGCCCTGTAGGGGAGGGAAGTGGGTTCTGGTTGGCCAGACACAGCAGTGTCCTCAGCGTTGCTTCTCCTTGGCGCCTGCTAAAGGTTAAGTAGTGGAGCGGGTAACACCTGCGTCCCGCCTGAAAGCAGCTACCCTCAGCGCCAGCTCTTCTACCCATTCTCTGCACAGATCCCTCCCATCCGGGACACTGACCCACTTCCTCAGGTCAGGCAGAATGGACAGGTGGAAAGAGCTGCAGGTCAGGCCCTGAGTTCTAGCACGGCCCACAGCTAGTGTGAAGGAGGCTGTTTGCTCTTCTGCAAAATAAATACAGTCAAAGCGAGCTGTTGCACCTATAGCAAAGGTCCAAGTGTCGAGTGGGAAGATGCTTTACAAAGAAACATCACTGACCTGAGCTTATGGTGAGGGGGAGGGAGGAGGCCTGTGGAAGAGAAAAGCCACTAGGGCCTCATCAATGATGAATGCTCTTGTGAATAAATAATTCAGAGCTTTGGGGATCCTTTTAGATGCAGTATGTTTCCACTCAGCCCAGCCTGCTGAAAATGTTTCCCCAAAGGTGCAACTCCAGAATCAGAGCCTGTGCCAGGCCCAGAGATGCAGGGAAGGCCACCTGCTGTCCTGAGAGCCAGCACCAAGCTCCCCAAGGGTGCTTCTCCCAGAGGCTTCGTTCACTACTTTTCTGCCAGCCAACGGCCTCCTGCACATCCAGAGACTTGCCCAGATCCCAGCTCCACTCACCTGTTTACTGGTGGTTTCCTGTCCCTGTCACCTGAGGACAGGATTGGTTTGGCCTACTCCCACGTCTGCCATCTCCCAGTGTTTAAACAGGAGGTGCCACCACCTTTAAAGTCATTCTTTTAGTAAACTCTTTTAGTAAACTCTTAACGAAAGGAAACACTGCAGGCTGTGTGGCCAGCGGACTGTCAGCGTGGACATACCTGTATTCAGAGATGTCACTGGATTGTTTATCATGACCCTGAGTTAACTCTTCTCCTGACTCCTGGCAGCAGTGTTTTGCCCACTGTGAAGTTCATATAAAGTATATTGTATAGTTCTTTTGGAAGTGGTTTCTCCCACTCGACTGGGTTTGTGAGATTTAGCTATTCTCATTGCTGAGGAGTTTCCCACGTCATGGTTCTGCCAGCTTATCCTGGTGTTAACCAGCCTTCAGGCTGTTTCCTGGACTGCCTGTTCTTCCTGTCTTTTGGGGTTGTGTGTGCATTCCCTTTGGGAATGAATAACTGCATGGTCAGGGTAAGTGTAATTAAGAGCTTTTTAAACACATGCCTGCATAAGTGAATGAAACTGCCTACAGCTGGCAGGGCAGGGTGGAGGGTCCTGCTAGGTCTAACAGGTGACAGCGCACGGCAGCCCTTTAACAAGAGCCTGAGCTTGCCTCAGCTAGCAGGCAGCTGGCTCAGGACCTGGTAGATCTGTAGTTAAGCAGCTGGTGGGGTCTGGTCTTAGCTTCACCCTGGACTCCTCTCTCCATAGCTGAGCAAAGCCAGTTGCTATTTCTAGCTGATCCTTAGACGGCTGTTGAAGAGTAGGATTTGACACTTAGAGTCTTAGGGGGCCACGTTCCAGGTCCTCATCATCTGGCCACCCTGGCCGCCTCTCTCTAAAAGAATGAAATCAGTCCACCACCCTGAACCCTCCCCCAGCCCACCCTTCGCCACCTGAGATGACTGCCATTGACCACTGCCAGTGGCTCCCCTCGCTAGTCACTGTA